CTGTTCCTGCTTTCTTTTTTGGTCCATTTGCTTGTAGGATTGTTTTCCATCCTTTAACTTTGAGTCTATTTTTATCTTTTGTAGCTAAATGTGTTTCCTGGAGACAGCGAAAGGTTGGGTTTTGTTTCTTAATCCAGGCTGCAACTCTGTGTCTTTTTGTTAAAGAGTTTAGTCCATTTACATTTAGAGTTAATATTGATATGTTAGCATCTGTATTTGCCATTGTGTTTGTCTTTCCTTTGATTTTATTTATTTATTCTTTTAATAACTTATTTTTTTTTTGGCCTTCTTTCATTGTTATTCGTCCCTCTGAGGTTCTGGCTTTAGGATTCCTTATAGTATTTTTTGGAGTGGGGGTTTAGTCGTAATGAAATTCCAGAGTTTCTCTTTGTCTGGGAAGGTCCTTATTCTTTCTTCATAGAGGAAGGAGAGCTTTGCGGGATAGAGTATTCTTGGTTGGCATCTGTTTTCTTGGAGTCTGTTGATTATGTCCCTCCACTCTCTCCTTGCCCGTAGTGTTTCTTCGGAGAAGTCTGATGTCAGCCTGATTGGTTTTCCTTTGAATGTTATCTGTTTCTTCCCTCTTGTCAGCTTCATTATTTTTTCCTTGTCCTGGATTCTTGGGAGCTTTACTATTATGTGTCTTGCTGTATTTTTCCTTTCGTTGTGGAAGTTTGGTGTTCTTCTTGCTTCTTGTATATCAATTTTCAGCTCCTTCTTCACATTTGGGAAGTTTTCTTCAATTATCTCTTTGAATATTTTCTCTGTTCCTACATATCTCTCCTCTCCTTCTGGTATTCCTATAACTCTTATATTTCCTTTCCTCATGGAGTCAGATAGTTCCCGAAGTCTTTCTTCGGTCTTTTTCCTTCATACTTCTCTTTCCTTTTCTGTTTTGGTTCTTTTTATTTCTGTGTCTTCAAGAGTACTTATTAGTTCTTCCATTTCATCTATTCTGCTTTCATTGCTTTTCCCAGAGTTCTTTAGTTCCTCCATTAATTCTTTGATCTCCTGTGTTTCTTTTGCTTCCCCCTTTAGGGACTCAATTTCAGTCTTCTGATCGTTGATTATTTTTCTCATATCATTGTTTTCCTTTATGAGTTCTGTCACTTTTTTAATCATGGCAATTTTAAATTCTTTTTTTCTGGAAGGCTTAGAAGTTATTCCAAGTTACTGTCGTTGCAATCTGGGGGGTGGTTTTCTTTTTGTGGTGTGCTTTTTTCCTGAGGAGTTGTTAGGTTGCATGTGGTTCTTCTACTCCCTACTGTCTGTTTTCTAGTTTGTCATATGCATTGGGACACTGTGTTGCTGGGACTGGCCGGCATCTTGGGTGAACTTCTCCGCTCCCCTCTGGCTCTTCCGGGAGCCATCTGTCGGTTTCAAGCAGTCTTTACTGAAGAAAGGTCCCTGTTCTAAAATGCCGATGTGGGGACACACTCCCCTGTGCGCCTGGTCTGCCCTGGCGGTGGGTTCCTGCTCCCCCTCTGGGCTTGGACTGCAGGCCAGAAGGGGCCTGGCATGGGCGAACTTCCCCACTCACCTCTGGCTCCTGAGGGAGCTTTCTGCTGGTTTCAGGCAGTCTTTACTGAAGAAATGTCCCTGTTCTAAAATGGCGATGTGGGACGCACTCCCTGCGTGTCCGGTCTCAGGCACACTCTTCTGCGCTCCCGGTCTGCCCCGGCCGTGTGTGCCCGCTCCCCCTGTGGGCTCAGACTGCTGATGGGAAGGGGCCTGGTGTAGGCTAACTTCCCAGCTGGCCACTGTCTCCTCTGGGATCCTTCTGCTGTTTTCAAGCAGTGTTTTCTGAAGAAAGGTCCCTGTTCTATGGGGTGTTAGTGACTTTTTTCTGGTCGCTAGGTGGCGCCAGAGATCTCTCCTAATGTCCTTGGGGAGCTGTTTTTTTCACCCCGTGGGACAGGGAACAGAGCAGGAATGGTAGGGTAAACCTCAATGGCTTTGGGGTGCTGTGTCTGCCTTGTGCCCCACCGTCGTGGAGAACCCATGCCCCGAATTTCGTGCCTCAGGTCTCAGTTCCAAAGCCCTCAGGTCCAGGACGCGGACTGTAGCCCAGTTCAATGGCCGCAGAAATGGCGCTTTTTGCACCCCGCTCTCGTGCCTGGGCGCCTGGTTCCTGATTACTCAGTGAGGGACTTTCACCTCAGTGAGGGCCCCAGCACATCTCCCCGCAAGCTTAGGTCGCAGGCGCGGGGACCTGGGCAGCCTATCCGCGTTTGCTTTTCAAGCGCGCCGCTTTTCCCGCGCAAGCTTACTGGCCGGCCCAGGGCTGTGTGCAGGTCTCCAGAGTCTCTGTTGTTCTCTAATGGCACGGGGAGCCGTTCGCTCACCTCCGCGGCGAATCCTGCAGGATTCTCCACAGCTCCCGTTCACGGGATGTGGTGGCTTAAATAGTTCCTTTCCACTCTCAGTCCCGCTTGATGCGTAGTTTGTTCTTGTTGGTCGTTTTAGTTTGTTGTTTTCCTCCTCTCTGTTGGTCGGAGAGTGCCGCCTCTGTGGGTGGGGAAGGAGGGTAGCAGGGTTCTGCGCTTTCCTCCCTTCTAGTCCTCTTTTATGGCAACTTTCTTCTTCGTGTAGTTTGCTGGAGTCGTCCGTTTATCTTCCGTGTCCCAGTTCTCACTGGGACCTGCCGCTTTTTCTCCCTACTAACTTTTTTTTAATGGGAGATCTTACTCGCAGCGTCTCCTCGCCACCATGTTGATCCACCTGTTTCTCCAATCTCTCTCTTTTTAAAAAAGATTTATTTATTTATGCATATAAGAACTAGGGTATAGCCCAGAGGTTCAGGGGGTTGGAGTGAGAGGATTCATCCAAGACAGAGTGGGGAGGAGAACAGGCAGACTGACTGAAATACACTGCTGAGGGGAGCAGTGGGGAGACAGGAGAGGTCTGCTGCACCATGTGGGTAGCTCCCTGTGCGCGGATCAGGATCCAACTTGTGCTGCAGTAGCTGATAGTTTCATAGTGCTGATGGTAAACACCTCAGGCCACCAGGAAGGACTTATCCAATCTCTTTATCATTACAAACTCGTTTTCTGAGAGGAATTGCTGTTCCCCCACTGTTTCTCTGTCCTATAATGACTGAGGGAAGGTATGTAGAGCCCTGATAATTGGAAATCAGGTGAGTATTTGGTTGAGGCTCCAGGAGTCCCGGGCACTCACTGCCATTCACAAGAAAAATCAGTTTTGCCTATGTTTGGACACAGCTTGGTTGAACTCTGCAGAATACCCTTACGACTTTTTTTTCTGCAAGCATAGGGGCTGTATCCAGGCCGGTGGAGCGTGTAAGGGCGATCTGCAGTCTGTCTCTGTGTCGGTAACACTCCGTGCTGGAGCTGCAGTCTCCGTGTCCTCGCAGGCCAGCGGCCCCGACAGTCAGGACTCCTGCCTTAACAGGGACGGGGCTGCCTGCACTCAGAGGGCCTTGCTGGCTCCCGGCACCGTTAGGCGCTCCATGGGGGTCTCCTGACCGCTGCAGGAGGCAGGGCTGTGGGCGCCCCTGGGCTCTCAGACTCAGTTCAGCTGCAGCTGTAAGGGCAGCCCCGGCTCTCTCGTCGGGCGGCTGAAGCACCGCCAAGCGTCCACTGCGAGCCGGCCGTTTTCCCCGTGGCGGTCCACCCCGTTCATCCCTAACTCCCTCCCTGGCACACCAACCTTCCCTCCACCCTGCCGGTGAGCAGCTGCAAAAGACCAGTCCAGCAGCCCAACTGGTTTGGAGGTAGCACTTCCCCAAGTCCTGTGCATGCAATATTATTAACACGCCCAAGTTGAGTCCAGTTGTAGGAGGGAATGAATGTGAAGAGCCGTGAGCGGCTGCGCACACAGAGCAGGTGGAGGGAAGCATGGGGGCCATCACCCAGCCAAGAGCCAACGTCCACTGCGATGCCAGGGCGCCCCTGGCCGACGTCTCCAGTGCAGCGGCCGTAGCACCTGTGCGGCGGGCCCCTCGGCCGCCGGGCCTCGGGCTGCTTGTGCGCCCAGGCTGCGGAGACGAGGTGGCCTGCCCCGGGCTACGTGGTACCGAGGTGGTCTGGTCTCTGGACAAGACGCCCTCGCTCGCGCTTCACTGCAGCCTCCCTCAAGGGCTGGCAAGCAGTTCCCCATCGCGGTCACCGCTGTCACGTGGCGCTTCTCCCAGCACGGGATAGAAGCCAAGTGGCCAACGACCAGACTCTTCGCCTGCCGACGTAGCCAGAGCTTATGACTCTGGACAGCACCCCTGGAGTCCCAGGCCGCCTTCGCACCGGCCACAGCAGGCTGCTGCAGGGCTTGCACGCGCACCCAGGCGGTTGCACGCAAGCCCTTCAGCTGCTGGCGGAGGCAGAGCGTACCTGGTACTCCCGCCCCAGTGTGTCTACTCTCCAGGCCCTGGGCGGGTCAGGCCAGCGGAGACACAACGGCACGGTAACACAGAGAACATAAATGCAGCAGCTGCAAGAAGAATCGAGAAACGTGCTCCCCGCTACCACGAACGCGGCTCTGGACTACCGCAGAGCGCGGCTCTCCGCGTAAACCAATGCCTTTCCCGCGGCAGCCGGACTCCGGCTCTGGTTTAATCGCACGCGAGGCTCCAGCCGACGTGCTACTTCCAGACCAGCTCCACCCGACTGGCCGCGCTGCAGCCGCTCCCCGCGGGGTTCGGAGGGAGGGGGCTGCGGTTCGGAGGGAGGTTCGGGGGCGGGCGGGGCGGGGGTTTGTGGAGCGGCGCGCGGCCGGCCCGCTCGCGCCCACCGCCAGGCGGTGCTGCCGCCGCCTTGGAGAAGCCGGGGCTGCGCTCTGAGCTGCAGCTGAAACGGAGTCTGAGAGTCCGCGGGCTCGGGCAGTCCTGCCGGCCGGGCTGCCGCGGTCAGGAGGCCTCCGTGGAGCACCCACCGGCGCCAGGAGCCGGCAAGGGCCGGCCGACAGTCCACCCAGTCCCGGGCAAGGTAGGCGTCCTGGCATCGGTCGCCGGACCCGAGCGTTGCGCACAGGGAGGCCGACTGCAGAGCGGCGCGTCACGCTGGCCCGGGCTCCAAATCCCCCAGGCCTTGCAGGGGAGACATGAAAAGGCTTTATGCTTCCTCGGCAACATTTCATCAAGGGTGTATGTTAATGCAGGAGAAACCGATTTTTCTTTGCAAAAGCCCGTGGAAATCGAAAAGAAACCATAGTCACCTCCTCCAAAAGGGGCGTGGTCATCGCTGGTCACCCCGTCGCCCCGCCTCTGCAAACCCCGGCGTCGGGAACTTGCTCCGGAAACGCCTTCCACTTCCTTTTGCGCGTGGAGAAGCTGCAGGTTGCGACCGCGGAGCTCCCCAGCGCTGTCCAGCTTGAGGGGGTCCTCCTGGGCAAGATGGTTTCCAGCTCAGTGAAATGCTTTTATCCACTCCAGCACTCTGGGGTTTTGCTGTTGTTGTTGTTGTTGTTCTTTTAACTTATCGTCGAGGGAAATTGGAAGGTAAGTGGAGCCCTTGGAATCGGGAATCGGGTGAGTTTTCGGCTATGAGGCTCCGGGAGCCCCGGCTGTCACTGCCTCCAGTTTCGTTTCTCATTTCCACCGGCACTGACAAGAAAAATCAGTTCAGCCTGCGTTTGGACATAGCTTGGTTGAACTGTGCTCAGGAGGCTTAAAGGCTTTTTTCCTGCAGGGCTTGGGGATGTATCGAGCCCGGTGGAGCGTGTAACACGGCGGTCTGCAGCCTGTCTCGTGTCAGCAGCGCTGCGCCCCGGCGCGGTCTCCGTGTCCTCGCAGGCCAGCGGCCCCGACAGTCAGGGCTCCCGCCTTAACCGGGGCGGGGCTGCCTGCACTCAGAGGGCCTTGCTGGCTCCCGGCACCGTTAGGCGCTCCATGGGGGTCTCCTGACCGCGGCAGGAGGCAGGGCTGTGGGCGCCCGCGGGTTCTCAGACTCAGTTCAGCTGCAGCTGTAAGGGCAGCCCCGGCTCTCTCGTCGGGCGGCTGAAGCACCGCCAAGCGTCCACTGCGAGCCGGCCGTTTTCCCCGTGGCGGTCCACCCCGTTCATCCCTACTCCGCTCCCCCGCACACCCACCTTCCCTCCACCCCGCCGGTGAACGGCTGCAGCAAGACCACTCCAGCAGCCCAGCTGGTTTGGAGGTAGCACTTTCCCTAGACCTGTGCGTGCGATAGTATGAACGCCCCAAGTTGAGTCCGGCTGTGGCTGGGAACGACGTTTGCAGAGCAGGGAGCGCCTGCGCACTCGAGGTAGGTGGAGTGAACGTGGGGGCCATCGCCGAGCCGGGAACCAACGTCCACTGCGATGCCAAGGGCGCCCTCTGGCCGAGGTCTCCAGTGCAGCGGCTGCAGCGCCTGTGCGGCGGGCCCCTGGGCCGCCGGGCTTCGGGCTGCTTGTGCGCCCAGGCTGCGAAGACGAGGTGGGCTGCCCTGGGCTCTGTGGTACCGGGGTGCTCTGGACCCTGGACAAGACGCCCTCGCTCGTGGTTCCACTGCAGCCTCCCGCAGGGGCTGGCAAGCAGTTCCCCGTCGTGGTCACCGCTGTCACGTGGCGCTTCTCCCAGCACGGGATTGAAGCCAAGTGGCCAACGACCAGACTCTTCGCAGGCCGGCGGAGCCAGAGCTTGGGACTCGGCACCGCTGACCGCAGAATCCCAAAACAGGCTGCTCCAGGACTTCCACGCGGACCCAGGAGGTCGTACGCAAGCCTTTCTGCTGCTGGCGGAGGCAAAGTGTACAGAGGGTCCAGCAGCCCCCGTGTGTCTACTCTCCTGGCCCTGGGCGGAGTCAGGCCAGCGGTGACACAACTGGACCGTATCAAATAGAAGTTGGGGAACCGAAGCTGAAAGAAGACTCTAGAAATGCTCTCCCCGCTCCAACGAACGTAGCTCCCCTCTATAGGCTCCCCGCTACTGGCGCACGAGGCTCCCCACTACTGGCGCATGCGGCTCCCCGCTCTCGGTGAAAGCGGCTGGCAAACGAAGCTCCCAGTTTTGGGCGAACGCTGCTCCGTGGCGAGGACGACCTCGGCTCAGGGCTAAGCGCGAAAACGCTGCTCCCCGGTAAGGGCGATCGCGGCTCCCAGCTTTGGGCAGACGCTGCTCCCTTTGGTGGCCAAACGCGGCTCCCCGCTAGGGGCGAATACTTCTCCCTGCGATGGGCAAACGCAAGTCCCCGCTATGCGCAAACCTAGCTCCCTGATTTGGGCGAGCTAAGCTCCCCATTACTGCCAGCGCTGCTCCCCGCTATGGGCAAACGCTGTTCTGGTTTTCTGAGCGAAAACCGCAGCCAGCCACGGGCAAACCACGCTGCCACCGCGGGCGAACTCGGCTCCCCGCTGCTGGCGAACGCTGCTCCCCGCTAGGAGGACGCCGCTCCCCGCCGCAGCGGGACTCCGGGGCCCCTTATATCGCAAGCTTGGTGGTGCTGCCGCCGCGCGCGGAAAGTCGGGGCTGCACTTTGAGCTGCAGCTGAAACTGGGTCTCAGAAGGCGCGGGGGTGGGGGGGGGCCGCAGTCCTGCCGGCTGCCACAATCAGGAGGTCTCCGTGGAGCGGCTCATGGTGCCAGAGCCAGCAAGGGTCGGCCGACTGCAGCCGCACCCACCCGGCAAAGGCAGGAGTCCTGACAGTCGGGGCCTGCTCGCCTAGGAGCCCAGAAGACGGCGGGCATCGGGAATCAGCGCTGCTGACGCGGAGACAGACTGGAGATCCGCTTGTTACGCTAGACCCGGCTCCATATACCCAAAGCCCTGCAGAAAATAAAAGGCCTAAAAGCGTCGTCAGCAAAATTGAATCTGGTAGCAGGTGAGCAGCCGGTGCCGCGACTCCCAGAGTCCATTTCACTCACTGCGCTTCTAACTTAAGTGCGTATTAAAGGCCTAGAAATACAGAAACTAACCCCAGTGCTTTCGAAGCTCACATCGTCTGGAGGAATCTTTGCTAAAATGGGACCCCGGGGTCGGCGACAGCAGTTGTGCCTTGGTCCACACGGCTAACGCACATGCTGGGGAAAATAACGAGGGCGCCTCCAGGTGCCCTGACCTGTTGCACCAGCAAAGGACGGTGGCGGCTTAGGTGCTGCCTCACGGCGGGGAAACCGCAGCTCCCTGCAGCCACAACGTCTCCGCTTCGCGACAGAATCGGTGCTTGCTGGGCAACACAGCAGGACAGAAGGGAAAACGCCTGCACGGTGTGCGGAGCGTCAGAGACCCTACCCACAAAACAGTGTCTCCGAGCGCCCCAAAGAACTGGCCCCGGCAGGTGCCAGACGATGCAGTGCACGGCGCTGTGGGCAGAGGCACGCGTCTCCGCGTGTCTAGCGAGCGCTGCGCCAACAAACCACGCGCCTGACGGAAAAATGAATTTTCGTTTCGCGGGCTCTCGACGACGCAGAAGCAAAGCGCAGGCAATAAGCGACCCCAGCGGCAAGGAGGAACTTCAGGAGACAGTGACCCAGGCAGAAATGGACTACGAACACCGCAGGTGCTTAAGAATGTGGGCAACGGTCGTCCACTGCAATGCCAAGGGCTCCAGCTGGCTGAGGTCCCCAGTGCGGTGGTGGGACAACCGGGCCTGGCTCCCGGCAAGGCGAGCAGCTGCAGTGTGGGTGAGCAGGGTCCCTGAGTGACAGTAGCTCCCCTCTAAGGACGACGTAGGCTCCCCGCTAAGAACGATCCCACCTCCTGGCTAAGAGTGATCGCAGCTCCAGGCTAAGAACGATCTCAGCTCCAGGCTAAAAATGATCGCAGCTCCCGGCTAAGAACGATCAGAGCTCCTGGCTAAGAATGATCGCAGCTCCTGGCTAAGAACGATCACAGCTCCTGGTTAAGAACGATCAAAGCTCCTGGCTAAGAACGATCAAAGCTCCTGGCTAAGAACGATCAAAGCTCCTGGCTAAGAATGATCGCAGCAGCTCATGGCTAAAAAACGAAGCTCCAGGCTAAGAACGATCACAGCTCCAGGCTAAAAATGATCGCAGCTCCCGGCTAAGAACGATCAGAGCTCCTGGCTAAGACCAATCACAGCTCCACGCTAAGAACGATCACAGCTCCCAGCTAAGAATGATCTCAGCTCCCCGCTAAGAACGATCACAGCTCCTGGTTAAGAACGATTGCAGCCCCAAAGAACAGGCCCCGCATGTGCTTAAGAATGCCTTTTATTTTACGGGCCAGAATCTGCTCTTCGGGACCTTTGCACAAAGGCGCCTGCGGGAATCTCAGGACCGGGAGCACCGACGATCCCCGCAGCAGCAGCCACAGGTCAACACAGTGTGCACGACGCGACGAATCCACTCCAAGCAGACCGAGCGAAATCGGGGACGTCGCCGAGCGGGCAATGGTCGTCCACTGCGATGCCAAAGGCTCCGGCTGCCCGAGGTCCCCAGTGCGGCAGTGGGACGACCGGGCCTGGCCGCCCGGCCAGGCGAGCGGCTGCAGCGTGGGTGAGCAGGGTCCCTGGTCCGCTGGGCTTCGGGCTGCTTCTGCGCCCCAGGCTGCGGAGACGGAGTGGGCAGCGCTGCGCTCCCGCGTGCCGAGGTGCTCTGGGCTGTGGTCGAGACGTCCTCCTGCAGGTAGTGCCACTGCAGGGGCGCTTCTCCCAGCACGGGATAGAAGGGCAGTGGCCAGGCACCAGAATCTTCAGAGGTCGGCAGAGCCAGAGTTTGGGACTCTGGATCGCTGGTCGCAGAATCCCAGGCCGCCTTCACACGGTCAAGAAGAGGCTGCTCCATGGCTTTTGCGCCACTGTGATGCCAAGGGCTCTGGCTGACCGAGGTCTCCAGTGCGATGGTGCGATGACTAGGCCAGGCCACCCAGCCAGGCGAGTGGCTGCAGCATTGGTGAGCAGGGTCCCTGGGCTGCCCGCCTTCGGGCTGCTTCTGCGCCCCAGGCTGCGGAGACGGAGTGGGCAGTGCTGCGCTCTGGCAAGCCGAGGTGCTCTGGGTTCTGGTCATGACACCCTCGTGCAGGTTCTTCCATTGCAGCCTCCAGCACGGGCTGCCAAGCAGTTCCCCGTGGTGGTTACCGCGGTCCCGCGGTGCTGCTCCCAGCACGGGATAGAGGGGCAGTGGCCAGCGACCAGAATCTTCAGAGGTCGGCATAGCCAGAGCTTGGGACTCTGGATCGCTGGCTACGGAATCCCAGGCCGCCTTCAAACCGTCGAGAAGAGGCTGCTCCATGGCTTTTGAGCGGACCCGGGAGGACACAAGCCTTTCTGCTGCTGGAGGAGGCAAAGTGTACAGAGGGCCCAGCAGCCCCACTATGTATACTCTCCTGGCCGTGGGTGGAGTCAGGCCAGCGGTGACGCAACTGGACAGCATCAAATAGAATTTGGGAAACAGAAGCTGAAAGAAGAATCTAGAAATGCGTCTCCCCGCTCAACAGTAGCTCCCCTCTAGTGACGACATAGGCTCCCCACAAAGAACGATCACAGCTCCTGCTAAGAACGATCGCAGCTCCAGGCTAAGAATGATCAGAATGATCGCAGCTCCCCTAAGAACGATCACAGCGCTAAGAACGATCACAGCTCCTGCTAAGAACGATCGCAGCTCCCCTAAGAACGATCACAGCTCCTGGCTAAGAAAGATCTCAGCGCTAAGAACGATCTCAGCGCTAAGAACGATCGCAGCTCCCCTAGGAACGATCGATCGCAGCTCCCCTAAGAACGATCGCAGCTCCCCTAAGAACGATCCAGCTCCCCTAAGAACGATCAAAGCTCCTGGCTAAGAACGATCTCAGCGCTAAGAAAGATCGCAGCTACAGGCTAAGAATGATCACAGCTCCCCTAAGAACATCGATCGCAGCTCCCCTAAGAACGATCGCAGCTCCCCTAAGAACTATCGCAACTCCCCTAAGAAGGATCACAGCTCCTGCTAAGAACGATCTCAGCTCCAGGCTAAGAATGATCCCAGCTCCCCTAAGAAGGATCGAAGCTCCTGGCTAAGAATGATCGCAGCTCCCGGCTAAGAACGATCACAGCTCCTGGCTAAGAACGATCTCAGCGCTAAGAACGATCGCAGCTCCCCTAGGAACGATCGCAGCTCCCCAAGAACGATCGATCATCACAGCTCCCCTAAGAACGATCGCAGCTCCCCTAAGAACAATCCAGCTCCCCTAAGAACGATCAAAGCTCTTGGCTAAGAACGATTTCAGCGCTAAGAAAGATCGCAGCTCCAGGCTAAGAATGATCGCAACTCCCCTAAGAACGATCGCAGCTCCCCTAAGAACGATCACAGCTCCAGGCTAAGAATGATCGCAGCTCCCCTAAGAACGGATTGCAGCTCCCCTAAGAATGATCGCAGCTCCCCTAAGAACAATCGATCACAGCTCCCCTAAGAACGATCGCAACTCCCCTAAGAAAGATCGCAGCTCCCCTAAGAACTATCGCAGCTCCCCTAAGAACGATCACAGCTCCAGGCTAAGAACGACGCAGCTCCCCTAAGAATGATCACAGCTCCCCTAAGAACGATCCCAGCTCCCCTAAGAACAATCGATCACAGCTCCAGGCTAAGAACAATCGATCGCAACTCCCCTAAGAACTATCACAGCTCCCCTAAGAACAATCGCAGCTCCCCTAAGAATGATTGCAGCTCCCCTAAAAATGATCGCAGCTCCCCTAAGAAGGATCCCTGCTCTCCTAAGAATGATCGCAACTCCCCTAAGAACGATCGCAGCTCCCCTAAGAATGATCGCAGCTCCCCTAAGAATGATCGCAGCTCCCCTAAGAAGGATCCCTGCTCCCCTAAGAATGATCGCAGCTCCCCTAAGAACGATCGCAGCTCCCCTAAGAAAGATCGCAGCTCCCCTAAGAACTATCGCAGCTCCAGGCTAAGAACGATCGCAGCTCCCCTAAGAAGGATCGCAGCTCCCCTAAGAATGATCGCAGCTCCCCTAAGAAAGATCACAGCTCCCCTAAGAACGGATCATGGCTCCCCTAAGAACGATCGCAGCTCCCCTAAGAAAGATCGCAGCTCCCCTAAGAAAGATCTCAGCTCCTGGCTAAGAACGATCACAGCTCCTGGTTAAGAACGATTGCAGCCCCAAAGAACAGGCCCCGCATGTGCTTAAGAATGCCTTTTATTTTACGGGCCAGAATCTGCTCTTCGGGACCTTTGCACAAAGGCGCCTGCGGGAATCTCAGGACCGGGAGCACCGACGATCCCCGCAGCAGCAGCCACAGGTCAACACGGTGTGCACGACTCGACGAATCCACTCCAAGCAGAGCGAGCGAGATCGGGGACGTCGCCGAGCGGGCAACTGTCGTCTACTGCGATGCCAAAGGCTCCGGCTGCCCGAGGTCCCCAGTGCGGCAGTGGGACGACCGGGCCTGGCCGCCCGGCCAGGCGAGCGGCTGCAGCGTGGGTGAGCAGGGTCCCTGGTCCGCTGGGCTTCGGGCTGCTTCTGCGCCCCAGGCTGCGGAGACGGAGTGGGCAGCGCTGCGCTCCCGCGTGCCGAGGTGCTCTGGGCTGTGGTCGAGACGTCCTCCTGCAGGTAGTGCCACTGCAGGGGCGCTTCTCCCAGCACGGGGTAGAAGGGCAGTGGCCAGGCACCAGAATCTTCAGAGGTCGGCAGAGCCAGAGTTTGGGACTCTGGATCGCTGGTCGCAGAATCCCAGGCCGCCTTCACACGGTCAAGAAGAGGCTGCTCCATGGCTTTTGCGCCACTGTGATGCCAAGGGCTCTGGCTGACCGAGGTCTCCAGTGCGATGGTGCGATGACTAGGCCAGGCCGCTGCCCGGCCAGGCGCGTGGCTGCAGCATTGGTGAGCAGGGTCCCTAGGACGGGAGAAGGCAACTCCCTGCTATGCGCAAACGTGGCTCCCTGATTTGGGCGAACCCTACTTCCCTCTATGGACAAATGCTGCTCAGGGTTTCTGAGGGAGCTCCGCAGCCCGCCACGGCCAAAGGACGCCGCCAACACGCGCGAACTCGGCTCCCCGCTACTGGCTAAGGGGCTGCCCACTATGGACGACCCAGGCTCCCTGCTACTGCCGAACGCGACTCCCCCATGGGCAAATATTGCTCCCAGCTGTGGGCGAACGCAACTCCCTGCTATGCGCAAATGTGGCTCCCTGATTTGGGCGAACTAGGCTCCCCATTACTGGCGAACGCTGCTCCCGGCTATGCGCAAACGCTGCTCCGGGTTTCCGAGCGAACGCGCAGCCAGCCACGGGCAAAACGCGCTGCCACCATGGGCGAAGTCGGCTCCCCGCCGCTGGAGATGGCAGCTCCCTGCTCTCCGCCAAAGCCGCTGGCTAACGCAGCTCCCCCTCCAGGGCGAACGCTGCTCCCCGCTAGGAGGACGCCGCTCCCCGCTGCAGCGGGACTCAGGCGCCCCTTATATCGCAAGCACAGGTTATGGGGGTGACTGCAGCAGCCGCCACCCAGAAAACAGCGACCTCGTGGCTACCACAGGGCGGTGCTGCCGCCGCGCGCGGAAAGCCGGGGCTGCACTTTGAGCTGCAGCTGAAACTGGGTCACAGAAGGGGCGGGCACCCGCAGTCCGGAGGCCTCCGTGGAGCGGCTAACGGTGCCGGAGCCAGCAGGACTGGCCGACCGGAGGCAGCCCGGTCCCGGACAAAGACAAGAGTTCTGGCTGTCGGAGCCCGCTGGGCTGCGAGGCCACGGAGACCCCCAAAGTCGGAACGCAGCGTTGCTGACACGGAGACAGGCTGCAGATCCCCGTGTTACACGCTGGACTGGGCTCCATATACCCCCAAGCCCTGCAGCAAAGCAGCATTTAAGCCCCGTCAGCAAAATTTCATTGAGAGTGCATGGAAACGTAGGCCAAACTGATTTTTCTTTACAAACAACCAGGGGAATCAGAAAGGAAACTGTAGTCACCTTCGCCAAAGGGGGCGGTCATCACTTTTCACCCCATCGCCCCACTCTCTGGAAAGCCGGGTGCACTAAACGCGATCGGGGAATGCTGGTCGTCGAATCTGCAGGTGCACAGCTCTGAGCATCCCAGCGGTTTCCAGCTTAAAGTCCTCCTCCTTGGTAAGTTCGATTCCGGCTCAATAAAATATTCTTACGGACTCCAGCACTCTAGTGTTTTTTCTTTTAAGTTATCCTGGAGGGAAATTGGAAGGTAAGTGGAGCGCAGATAATCTGAAATCGTGTGGAGTCCGCGATGAGGCTCCTGGAGTCCACGGTACACACTGACTCAGATTCATTTCTCATTTCCACTGACATGTACAAGAAAAATCAGTTTCACCTTGGTTTCGACATACGCTTGATAAAACATTGCTGAACAGGCTTAGAGTCTTTTTATGTGCAGGGCTTGGGGGTATATAGAGTCCAGTCCCGCGTGTACTGGTGATCTGCAGTCTGTCTCCCTGGTAGCAACTCTCCGTTTGGGTGTCCTTGGTCACTGTGGCCTCACAGCCAAATGGGCCGACAGCCAGAAGTCCTGCTGTGGCTGGGACAGTGCTGCCTCCCCTTGGCCATCCCTTGCTGGCTGCTGGCTCGTCAGTCCTCCATGGGTGCCTTCTGACAGCTTAAGCCAACAGGACTGCCAACATCTGTGGTTCCTCAAAATTAGTTTCAGCTGCATCTGAATGTGCAGCCATGGCTTTCTCCAAGGGCAGGGGCGGCAGCACTACCAAGCAGTGTTCCTCAGCTGGCTGTTCCTCCCAGCTCAGCCATGGCACAACCCTGTGGGGAGCGGCTCTGGCACACAGGTCCAGCCCAGCTGCTTTGCCCCCTAGCACGTTTCCACTAGATCCCTGAGTGTAATAGGTCAGGCGCCTCCACAGACCAGTTGTACTGGGGAACTCTGTGCCCAGACCCTATGAGTGTGGCTGGCCCGACAGCCTCTTACTGAATACCCGGAGTCCCTGGAGGAGAATGGCAGACTTTACAGAAGACTTTACTCAGCGAAGGTCTTCAGTTCTTACGGAGACTTGTGGAGGATGAGCCCTTGGTTCTTTGGGCAGAAACACAGAGCATAATGCAGAAAGACTCCCCCTGAACAGAAGGGGCTTCATCAGCATGCACCCCCGCAAATTGTGCCCGCGGGCCACAGACGCGGTCTCAGAGAACACGGGAACAATAAGTGAAGTCAGAGCGGTGGAGCTGGGTCAGGGAAAGGGAATGAGCGAACGGACGACGGATGACGGTGGTGCAGACTGTCTGTGAGGCGAGGCCGAGCTATGCTGCAGATGTACAGAGAAATTTACTCCTTATCTACTGATGGAGAGGAGGTGATGGCTTATGTTTTTTTTTTTTTTATAGAGGCATGTTTTATTTATTTATTTATTTATTTGTTTTGTTTGTTTGTTTTGTTTATACATGCACTGGGTACAGTCAGAACCACGGGAGGTCGAGAGAATTCACCAGAGCCAGATCGGGGAGCAGAGCAGGCAGAAGGACCGAAGTACACTGCTGAGGGGAGCAGCAGGCGGCAGGAGAGGTCTGCGCGCCATGTGGGACCCTCCTCCGGTGGCCGGGGAGCAGCCAGGGATCGAACCGGGCGCCGCAGAGGCTGCGGGCAGCTTCGCAACCCAGCGTTCAACCGCTGCACCACCAGGGAGGCCCGATGGCTTATGTTTTAAAATAAACTAGCTTCAAACCCCACCGACTGGGAGAAAATTTTTGCACACACACTAATGATAAAGAACTGATCGCAAAAATCTACAAAATGCTGATGAGACTCAACAAAAACAAAGAAAATAATACAGTCAAAAAATGGGGCAGAAGTGCTAAAAAGAAACTTCTCCAAAGAGGAAATGCAAATGACCAACAAGCATATGAAAAAATGTTCAACATCACTAGTAATCAGGGAAATGCAAATCAAAACTACCATGAGATACCATCTCACACCAGTGAGAATGGTATTTAAAAAATGGTATTAAAAAAACTAGCAACAACAAATGTTGGCGAGGTTGTGGAGAAAAAGGAACTCTCCTGCACTGCTGGTGGGAGTGCAAACTGGTCCAACCACTATGGAGAGCTGTGTGGAGATTTCTGGACCTACTAAACATAGAGCTTCCATATGATCCAGCAATTCCACTCCTAGGTATTTACCCAAAGGACACAGAAACATCAATTCCAAAGAGCACCTGCACTCCTATGTTTATAGCAGCACTGTTTACAATAGCTAAGCTATGGAAACAACCCAAATGCCCAAAAATAGATGACTGGATCAAGAAGATGTGGTACATATATACCATGGAATATTACTCAGCATTCAAAAAAGATAAACACATGCAGTTTGCAGCAACATGGAGGGAGCTAGAAGGGATCATGCTCAGTGAAATAAGTCAGAAAGAAAAAGAAAAATAGGGCCTCCCTGGTGGCGCAGTGGTTGAGCGCTGGGTTGCTAAGCTGCCCGCAGCCTCCTCAGTGCCTTTCGATCCCCGGCTGCTCCCCGGCCACCAGAGGAGGGTCCCACATGGCGCGCAGACCCCTCCTGCCGCCCGCTGCTCCCCTCAGCAGTGTACTTCGGTCCTTCTGCCTGCTCTGCTCCCAGCTCTGGCTCTGGTGAATTCTCTCACCCTCCCGCGCTTCTGACTGTACCCAGTGCATGTATAAATAAATAAATCTTTAAAAAAAAAAAGAAAAGAAAACAAAAAAGAAAAAGAAAAATACCGGATGGTCTCACTCATAGCAGGAATTTAAAAAACCTAAATAAGGGACCAGGAAAAAGACTAATTAATACAAAATAAAAATCAAAATCAACAAGCAACTATAAACGAGAGACACACAAGGGTGGAGGGGCGAGGAGAGGAAGGACTACGGTCAAAATAAGGGGGGAGGCAGTTGTACGGGGAATATAACCAAAATGAAAATGCATACATTGTGCAAAAAAGAAAAATGGTGTAAGAATTATATAAAATAAAATATTAATAAAAAAACAAAAAGTAAAATAAACTAGCTTCATTTTACTCTCTTAAATGTGAATAAAAATTATCTTCAAATGTAAATGTAAAACTAAAACGCACTGAAAAAAACTTTCCCAGGGCGAGCGATTCGCAGACGCTGAAGCCACAGAGGAGAAAGTGCAAACGTGGTTAAAAGATGCAGCGAGCGGTGCTTTCTCGCCTTGCAGTCTCCGGGCGGCGCCTGGGCCCCGCCAGGCCCGCAGTCCCGGCCCGAGAGAGCAGGCGGAGGCCGCGCAGGCGTTCAGGGCGCTCCAGACGCCGTTCCCGGGAAGGCCGGCCGGGCTGGGCTCGACCCCGCGGCGCGGTCCTCTCGGCGCAGGGGACCAGGGGACGCGCCCGTGCGCACCAGCTGGGCTGGGCCCGCGTCGCTGCAGCCGCTCGCCGCGGTGTGTGGGCGAAGCCTGCAAGAACCGCCGACGGGGAACAGCCGGCTCGCGGCCGCCGCTGGGAGGTGCTGCCGCCGCCCGTGGGGAAACCCGCGGCTGCACGTTCAGCTGCAACTGAAACGAAGTCTGAGGAGCCGCGGGCGCCGGCGGTCCTGCGGGCTGCCGGGTCAGAGGCTCCCGGGAGCGCCTAAATGTGCCGGGAGCCAGCGAGAGCCGGCGCCTGCAGGCAGCCCAGCCCCGGCCACAGGCGGGAGTCCCGGCTGGCGGGGCCGCTGCGCTGCGAGGCCGCGGAGACCCGGGCGCCGGAACGGAGCGTTGCTGACGCGGAGCCAGGCTGCAGATCGCCGCGTTCCACGCTAGACCGGACTCCACGCTCAGCAGCAAAACGGCATTTATGCCTCGTCAGCAAAATTTCATCCAGGGTGTATGGACACGTAGGCGAAACCGATTTTTCTTTTTCTTTTTTTAAAAGATTTATTTATTTATGCATACAAGAACTGGGGTGCAGGCCAGAGGTGGGGTGTGTGTGAGAGGATTCACCAGAGACAGAGTGGGGAGCAGAACATGCAGATCTACTGAAATGCACCGCTGAGGGGAGCAGCGAGTGAGACAGGAGCGGTCTGCTGCGCCATGTGGGTTGCTCCCTGGTCTGGGATCGAACTCATGCTGCAGTGGCTGCGGGCAGCTTCCTAGGTTGCATCTTAACCCTTTTCGCCACCAGGGAGGCCCCAAACCGCTTTTTCTTTACAAACGCCCCGTGGAAATCAGAAAGGAAACCTTAATCGCCATCGCCAAGGGGGCGTGGTCATCACTTTTCACCCGATCGCCTCGCCCTCTGGTAAGCCCAGTGCACCAAAACGTGCTGGGAAACGCTGGTCGGCGCCTTTCACTCGGCTTTGCCTGACCAGAACCTGCAGGCCCGCAGCGCCGAGCTCCCCAGCGATTTCCTGATTAAAGTCGTCCTCACTGGCACGTTGGATTCCGGCTCAATAAAATATTCTTAAGGACTCCAGCACTGGGTTGTTTCTCTGAACAGTCATCATGGAGGGAAGTTGAAAGGTAAGTGGAGCCCAGATAATCCGGAATCGGGTGAGTAGGCGGCGAGGAGGGCTCCTGAGACCACGGCACTCACTGACTGCAGTTTCGTTTCTCTTTTCCACCGCATTTACACGAAAAATCAGTTTCCCCTACTTTTTTTTTTTAAGATTTATTTATTTATTCATACAAGCGCTGGGTACAGTCAGAAGCGCGGGAGGGTGAGAGAATTCACCAGAGCCAGAGCGGGGGGCAGAGCAGGCAGAAGGACCGAAGTACACTGCTGGGGGGAGCAGCGGGCGGCAGGAGAGGTCTGCGCGCCATGTGGGACCCTCCTCCGGTGGCCGGGGAGCAGCCGGGGATCGAACCGGCGCTGCAGCTTTGCAGCCCAGCGCTCAACCGCTGCACCACCGGGGAGGCCCTCGCCTACGTTTTTGATGAAACGTTGCTGAAGAGGCTTAAAGTATTTTTATGTGCAGGGCTTGGGGCTATATCGAGCCCGGTCCGGCCTGTAACGGGGGGATCCGCAGTCTGTGTCCCGGGCAGCAACCCTCCGTTGCGGTGCCCGCGGTCTCCACGGCCTCGCAGCGCAGCGAGCCCAGCAGCCAGGACTCCTGCCTCTGGCCGGGGCTGGGCTGCCTGCAGTGGCCGGCGCCTGCTGGCTCCCGGCACGGTTAGGCGCTCCAGGGAGCCTCTGACCGCGGCAGCCGGCAGGACCGCGGGAGCCCGCGCTTTCTCCAACTTAGTTTCAGTTGCAGCTGAACGTGCAGCCGCGGGTTTCTCCAAGAGCGGGCGGCGCCGGCACCACCGCCAAGAGGTAGCCCGGAGCTGTCTGTTCTCCGGGCGGCCATCCCCAGCTCCCCAGTTCAGCCATTGCTCAATCCTACGGGAAGCGGCTCTGGCACGCAGGTCCCCCCGCCCCCTCACAGCGGGTTTGGCCTGAGCGCGGGCCTCTGCACACCTGCGTGCAAACAGTCGTGCGCCATCTCAGGAGACCGGCTGTAGCGGGGACTCCCGGCCCATTCCCTGTAAGTGTGGCTGGCCCGCCAGCCTCTTACTGCAGACACGGAGTCCGTGAGGAAAAAGGCGGCCTTTACAGGAGACTTTTCTGAGCGAAGGTCCTCAGGTCTTACAGAAACTGGTGGAGGATGAGTCCTGGGTTCTTGGACACCAATACAGAGCATAATGCAGAGAGACCCCCTCGACAGAAGGGGCTTCATCTGCAGGTACCCTGCAAATTTGCAAATTGTGCCCGCGGGCCACAGACGCGACATCCGAGAACGCGTTAACAAGAAGTGAAGTCAGGGGCCTCCCCAGTGGCGCAGCGGTTGAGCGCTGGGTTGCGAAGCTGCCCGCGCCCTCTGCGGCGCCGGTTCGATCCCCGGCTGCTCCCCGGCCACCGGAGGAGGGTCCCACATGGCGCGCAGACCTCTCCTGCCGCCCGCTGCTCCCCTCAGCAGTGTACTTCGGTCCTTCTGCCTGCTCTGCTCCCTGCTCTGGCTCTGGTGAATTCTCTCACCCTCCCGCGCTTCTGACTGTACCCAGTGCTTGTATAAACAAACAAACAAACAAATAAATAAATAAAGCACACCTCTATAAAATATATATATATAAAAATACCATTAAAAAAAAAAAAAGAAGTGAAGTCAAAGCTATGGAGATCGGTGGGCAAAGCGAATGAACGATCGGATGTGCATGAATCGTGATCCGAAACGTGTGTGAAAAGACGGTGAGCTGTGCCGTGAATTTACGGAGAAATCCACTCCTTAGCTACAGCTGGAGAGGAGGTGATGTCTTATAGCTTGAAATAAGCTGGCGTCATTTTAATCGCGTAAATGTGAATAAAAATTATCTTCAATTGTAAACTTAAACGCCCTAAAGAAACTTTCACATGGCTGGCAAACCGTGCAAAGACGCTGAGGCTGCACAGAAGAAAGTGGGAACATTGTTAAAACATGCAGGGTGCCCGGGCCTCCCCCGGTGTCTCAGCGGTTGAGCTCTGGACTGCGAAGCTGCCCGCAGCCTCTGCAGCGCCGGTTCGATCCCCTGCCACTGGCGAGGGTCCCACATGGCGCGCAGACCTCTCCTGCCGCCCGCTGCTCCCCTCAGCAGTGTACTTCGGTCCTTCTGCCTGCTCTGCTCCCCGCTCTGGCTCTGGTGAATTCTCTCACCCTCCCGCGCTTCTGGTTGTACCCAGTGCATGTATAAATAAATTAATTAATTAAAAAAGAAAAAACAACATGCAGGGTGCTTTCTCGCCCTGAG